TAGCTCTGAGAACAGAACTCTCTACCAAATATGAACTTTTGAATAGTTAATACTTAAAATACACTTTCATAGTACTTTTCTTAAAAAAAGAGTAACAAATATCCTAGAGTGATTTTTATTTAAGCAAAATTCTATTTAGAATTATGATTATTTTCTACAAGTATGATTATTATCAAGAAGCTCAGAATAGTAACGTGTTGAGATCCTCGAAAGTTTTTGAGTCTTTAAAAGGTAAGGTATAAGTGTATAAATGGTATGTTTAACAAGTTTCAGCAACAAACGTTATTCTCCAGTTAATATACTAACATTAAATGTATATAAATTCCACTTACATTTGATTCTTTGCTGCTTGTCTCTGAGCTTTTCTTTCTTTCCTTTTCTGATCAGGTGGCTTAGCAAAGACAATCTCAATATTTTCTCCCTCCAAGTCTTTGCCATTCATTTCTTCCATAGCCTTAAAAAATAAGGCATTCATCAGTATAAAAGAAGGCCTTTCAAAAGTATTATAATCTAGTTAAAGTTAAATCACTTATCCTTAATGTTGAAAAGATAATAGAAAGCCTCATTCAGTAAGATAAACAGGAACGAGAGTTAGATTTTCCCTAATTAAAGTTCAAGCGCTTGAACTAGTTTTTTCAACTTAGCAAGTCACCTAACTCACTAAACTAAGGCCTATAAAGGTTAGTGGAGTATAAGCGGTATAGACGTTAACTCATTCAGCTGCCAACCAAAATGTTGGAGGTTTGAATCCACCCACAGGTATCTTGAAAGAAGGCCTGGCAATCTGCTTCTGAAAAATCAGCCACTGAAAACCCTATGACACATGGTTCTACTAAAACACCCAGCCAAGAGTGAGAACTGACTAGAGACCAACTGGTTTAGAAAGAGCTACTGTGATTGGATTACATAATCTCTGTGTTTCCTTCCATTTATTAAAATGTTCTGATTCCTACTCTCACTTAGATGCCTACAATAATTTTCCATGTTTACCTTGACAGCACCATCTCGCTCATCAAAATGAATGAAAGCATAATCTTTTAGTTTCTTTACTCGTTCCAGTTTCCCAAATTGACTAAATGCCTTTTCTAAAATCTCTTCTGTTACAGTATTGGCAAGGTTGCGTACAAACAGTACTTTTACCTGAAATACAAAAGCAGAAACACCCTGTATATTTCCAAGGAGCTCCATTTCCAAGATGCCAGTACCCCTTCACCTTGCAAAGTTAACTTTAAATACAAACCATCAGAAGATCATCAACTAGACTATATGCTTGGTAAGAAGCACTGGTAGCACAACAGTTAATCATTAAGCTACAAACTGAAAGGCTGGAGGTTCAAATCTACCCAGAAGCTTGCTGACCTGCTCCTGTAAAAATTATAGCCTAGAAAACCCTATGGGGCAGATCTACCCTATCCTACAGGGTCATTATGAGTTCGAATTGACTCCATGGAACACAGCAACAACATGCTTGGTGGTTTTTATTAAATTAGGAATTGTTTTTAGTAAAACAGCCATTCCCTAACAACATAAACACAAATTGTCAAATCTAATCATTAACTAGAGGAGGTAAAGGAGGTGGTGATACTGGTAAGATGAATTCTTTCAATCTTGAAACCTCCTCAAAGTACAACTACAAAATTTAACCTTTTGGCCAAGAAACACTATCACACCCTCCTAAATACCTGAATTAGCATCTGAAATTCCTCATGTGAAGTGCTAAACTAAAGGGAGTACTATATGCCAAAAGAAAAAAAGAACCCTTTAATAAATTCACAATTCATCTGGCAGTTTACACTCCCCTCTTTTTTAACTAGTTATATTTGATACCCTATTAACTATTAGAGGAGAATGCTTAAAAGGAAAAGACAAAGGGAAGAATACAACTGCAAACTGCACTAGTGAGAGTAAAATGTTGACTCAAGAGATATTTGTTCTCATAGGATATCTCAACTGACTGCTGAAGCAGGATACCTAATAATAGCTAAACCTTGTAACTGCAGGAGCTCAACTGGGGCCAATACAGCTCGCTATTTTTAGGAGTAGGACTTTTAATACAAAAAAAAAAAAACCCCAGCTAATGGCACCATTCTCAAAAACTCAAAATCAAACTACTCCATTTTAATCCACAAAAAAATGAACCATCTTTACAGTATTTCGGTTATTTAACCATGAAAGGTCTCACAATTATGGCTAAGTGTCCATGAATAAGTTTCTACACATTTACTTTCCAAGTACATGGTATTTCTGGTGTGGGGACCTGGTTTTCTTAGTAAGGAATACTTCTTTTACCCCCAAATATACTGTTTATAAGAATGTACACAATTCATTTTTTTTAAAAGTTTTTTCCCCTCTCTAAAGCCTTTTCCCTCTTCAATTCACCAATCCTACTCCCCAAAATTTTTAATAGACTATTATTACCTTGCTTTAGTATTATTACCTTACCTTTGCCATAACCTCAGGATCAGGATCTTCTATAGGATCAGCCCATTCAACAGTTCCAACATTTCCCCAGACTTTGACTTTACCACTCATTAACCTACGTCTTGCCTGAGCAGCTGTTTTGTGATCTTCATATTCAAGAAAACAAAAGCCTCTGTTTTTTTTCTTGTCATCTGGTTGGTGGTATAAAATGACGTCTGTAAGGCCCTCTGTAAATAAGTGACCATTCCAAGGAAATTAGATAAAATAATGAGCAAGAGCAAGTACACTGAAGCATTTATTTTTCTAATACATTATTTCAAAATAAAAATAAAAATCTCTTTTCTTCAATGACCAACTTTACAAGGGACTCTCCCCCCTCCCCCCCCCAAAAAAACAGGTCCAGGTTGTTATTATCTAACATACTCTTTCTTCAATATGTAATGAATATACATAACACAATCCAGCTTTCCCACCAAAGAAGTCCCTATAAAAAGAAAATTTATTTTTTTCTAATCAGACCTAAGGTTTATTTGGCTTCAGTACTTAAATCACAGAGTGGTAGCTAAAAACCTCTATGTCACTGTTTTAGGAAAATGGCAGTATAGGTTAAGTACACCTTTAAAATTTTATTATGCAGATAAATACTAAAACTCCTTTTAATGGCACTTTTTTAATCTGATTACCAATAGCTTTGTTTAAAATGGAACAGAAAACAGTAGTGTGAACTAGAATAGCAAATGTTCCTGAACACTTAACAGACTGATAATTTACCCAACATTCCAGGTAGAAAAAAAAAAAAATTTTCTAATAAAAGCAGCCTCTCATTTGGAATCTATCATAAAAGATATTTTACAGGTCAAATAAATTGTCCCATATTGACAATGTATAATCTCTGCATATACCAAAAGTACTTATTATTCCTTTAATTTGGAAAAATCAAATAATTATACATCAAACAATCCTACTGAAAATATCAACATCTAGAAATACAAAACACAAAGAAACACCATCTTTCAAAACTGGGAAATCAGAACAAAGATTAAAAGATAAACTGAGATCAGATCTCAGCTACATTCCTCATTAACTGCACAACCTTCCCCTTTCTGTGCCTGTTACCTTATCTGCCAAACAGGGTACCTATCTCAAAAGGCTGTAGTAAGGATTAAATGAATCAATAAATGTGTTTAGAACACTACTTGGCACAAAGAAGTATGTTATTACCTTCATTACTATGTTGCACTTACTTCCAAATAAATCCAACTTACCTGTTACTTTGCTAAACTCTTCAAGAATCTGTTCCTTGGTTTTACTCTTAGGAATAGAGCCCACAAAAAGCCTATTGTTGGCAACAGAGATGCAGACACCAATGTGTTTTCCAGAACGAATTTCATGGTTATTATACTAAAAGGAAAAAAATAGTGTACCATGTAATATCCTGTTTTAAGTGCTTATCACAGAATATATGCAAATCTATATAAAAAAAGCAAAACTTTTAACAAATTAAAATTCTCTCAATTTTTACACCAAGTATTTTTATCCTTTAAAAAAATTAGGTTCATGCTGTATGAAAAGTGAATTTGCTCTGTAAATCTTCACCCAAATCCTAATTTAAAAAAAAAAAAACAATTAGGTTCACCATAAAGCACTGTAAAAGGGAATTATATAGCCTGATAGATACGAAGACCATATTGACAGAACAACCAAACAAGCTGACAAATCAACAAATGAATGCAAAATTTTGCTGTGAAGTCCTTTAAATCTAGGAAATTTGATATAAAGAATCATGTCTGCAACAGCTTGTTCAAATTCAAGAACTGCTCATGCTACAGTATCTTACTTAACCTCTACTCAACTTCATCCTGTCAACCAGTTATTCTCTTATGAGGGAAAATGATGCCAATATCCCAAGCTTTCTGCCTGTCTTTCTGTTAACATTTAAATCAACTTTTCCATCCCCCTCTTGTAAAATGTGGCAACACACAAGTGTCTGCCTTCAAATATTTATGTCTCAAAAGAGAGTTCCTTGCTATTCTAAATCTGATCCTACTTTTTCCCCCCATTTCATTTTCATCAAGCCTACAAATCAAATTATCAACAAGGAAGACAAATAGATCATGTTAGTAAAGCCCCTTAAAATTTCATGTCAGTAATAGTGATGGCATCAGCAGCAATAATTTTCCAATAATCTTCTTCCACCTGGCTTTGCAAACTATTTTATACATACATACAAGTGGAACTATACAAACTAATGAAGAACATGAATTCTCACAAACCACACTAAGGCAAAAGAATCACCCTTTCTCTCCTCATTATTCCCAATCTTTTATAACAGCTGTATCAGTATTTTGTAACAGCTATATCAGGTGTAACAGAAGAAAACATAACTAAGCCAGAAAGCAAACTCCCCTCCTCCTTTCTCCATCTCCAGATATTCAATTAAATACAAAGTCCAAACATCTGCCTCCAAGTCAAAACAGGTTCATATTTTCTTCATCAAAGACTCAGTTTCTGCAAAAGACAGGCACATCAGTTGAACATTTACCTGAGGTAGATACACTCCTCGGAGAGAACAATCATGG